GGACTTATCAACTTATGTCTCAGGGTGAAGGGCGTAGTGGCAGTGCCCTTCAGAACTTTGTGATCTAGCTTTGAGTGGCATTGCAACTGTTATGGACAGGCTTGTTACTTACCACCAGACGCACGACTTGTACGTCCCAACATTTGGTATCATAAAACAATTATTATTATTTTGTAGGCTTGAATAAATCACACATTACGTATCTCTTGAAGTACACTGAGTTTTAGGATGATAATTACTATTACGATTATTTCTTCATTATTGATTTCTGCTTCGCATAAATCTCAAAAACGCGCATTAACAAACAAAGTAATTTAAATATTTACCTGAACCACACAGTAAAGTAACAAAAGTCCTAAATTCATTTAATCGCCATTATCTAAACCAAAATTTAAAGCTAGGACAGCATTGGTCCGTCACTGGTCCCCGGGAACGGGATTCCCGGATAATCCGCATTAAGGGCCCAGCCTTGGTAATGCGGCTTTTGTCCTGTTTCTTTCTTATCTCGCTGCAAAATTTGTCTAGGCGATGCTGTAAAATAGTCTAAAAATTCCTCGTGTTACACCGATGTGTAACATACTCTTGTTTCATTAAAAGAAATATCACGGATCAGTAAAATGTTCAACATAAAATATTGTATATCATTATAACACCCTAATGTATTCTATTCAACATTTTTTTCTCTCTCTCTCTCTCTCTCTCTCTCTTTTGTAATTATCAAGTGACGGGACGAACAAGTCGTGCGCCTGATGGTAAGCTATACGCCTGTCCATAACAGTTGCAGTGCCTCTCAGAACTTTAAATTGCAAAGATATGAGGGGCACTGCCACTGCGCCCGTCACCCTTAGACATGAGTTGACAAGTCCCACGTGCCTGTAATTTCACCACCACCCTTAAACTTCTAAACCGGAACACAGTAATGCTAACCTTAATAAAAATTCCTTAGATCTAAATAGACTAGAACCATCGTCTTTTGCCATGCCGCAGACACCGCTCTTACAATCTGGGCCACAGATCGAATCAGCAGATTTTAGGAATTTCTCTATGTGCTGGTGCCAATGATTTTTGTGTTGGGATTAAACAGCGTTTTTTTTCCTTGATCGCTGTGAGAAACTTATGTTATGACGTTTCTTCACTCATTAATGTTAAAAAAATGCTGGGGTCACTCCGCACTCAATAACAGCGCAGCTTGTACGCGTGCGCAACCACACGCCGTGTACGGATGCACACCTTCCCATAATATCATTATTATGGCATATTATTAAAGCGCGTTGGGACGACCAGTGTTATGCAACGCAAGTGTATCGCGAGATTATACGAATGTATACGACGCGCGGCGGGCGCGCACACATAAAAGCCGCGTTGCTACGTTTGTATGGAGTTACCATCCACGTTCTTAATCTTTATCGTTATCGGCTTTAACACGTATTTTATTTCACGATGTTTTGATTTTAAAATCGCGACAAGAATGTCAACAATTTCATACTCAATATTAAACTAAAATATTTAGCCAAAGTTTATTGGACAAGAAAATTTTCAACAAAAATTTCATATTACCCTTTGAAGTCGCAAAAACCTGTTTCATATATTTATGTTTAATCATATGGATAGGTATGGTCATTTAGTACAAAATATTTTTCCTTTTTTTGACGAATTAGATGGGCTCTCATAGTAAAAGACGGGGAATTTCGTAAAATACACTATTACATTAACACATTATATAATACAGTAGTGAAGTACGTTATGCTTCGGTGTAAGAGACGGGCGTTGTAACTGGTAGATACAACGAGTCTGCTCTCAAGCCACGATTTATATTACCCGGGTTGCACCAACGTTTATTGCTCTTGTTAACTGGATACCCTGTTTTTTCAAACTAATGAAAATTTTAATATAAATCCCGTTGTTTTTGCTGAAAAGGTTTTATTGAAAAAATGTATGAGAAACTAACGACAGTCATCCCTTATTGCTTGCATTGAAAAATTGGTTATTAATAACTAACTTTTTTCTGCATTATTAATTTGGTACCGCACTAACAAAGTTATCCATTAACAGACAAATTCATCACTCAGCGAACGTAAGCCAGTTCAATTATACGTAACACCATCGATGCTCAATAAAAAAACAAAACAAAAAGGAATCAGGATTAAAAACGGAAAATTTGTTTACGTCCAATCATCGATTGACGGTACCAATGCAAAAACATCTAACTACAAAAACGTTATTTCTAGAAATATGCATTCGAATAAATGTGTGGCGGTTTTATGATATCAAGTGACGAACATGTTGCGCGCCTGATGGTAAGCTTCACGTCTGTCCATAACAGTTGCGGTGCCACTGAGAGCTTTAAATTGCAAAGATCTGTGGGGCACAGCCACGCCCGGCACCATAAGATATAAATTTTCAAGTCCCATGGACGAATTCTTTCATAAGGAGCTCTACTGCTACCATAAACATTTACCATTACCAAATTTTTTTGAATAGAAAACAGTTTAAAAGTGGAAACAAAAACTAAGTTTACGTAAAAAGCCATTTTTTGCGAATAACAACATTGTGAGTTAAAAAATCGATTGCCTATTACACCTCTTCTTCCCCACAGTATCAAATAAATACTAATTTAAATCCGTATTCATCGAAACAACGAAGTAATTAGTTTTAAAAATTGAAGAACACATATTTTTGATAACTAAGAAACTGCGTACTGGAAATTTATATGTTTTTACTTATCCATTTTTACTGTTCGACCGGTCGTAATGGTTGGTAAACATCCGTGCTGATTATTTTTCTTTGAAAGGTGTTTTGTTTTTCGCTTTTTCTAAGTTCAATTAGCGAGGTATTGAAATGGGACGGAAAAGGTTGTTTTTGTTCTTTGTACTTTGTTAGCCATTTGTTCGTTTACGTATTGGTTTTTATGCCTTGGAATATTGTAATACTATATACTATACATATAAAAAACGTTCTTTGTATGTAATAGAGTGAAAACTATTTTACGCGCTGTCTTTGCACGGTCACCAAAGCAATTTTGTGCGCTACTTTAGTGCTTACTACAGTAGTTGTAGAGCTCGTCCAGGGAAGTACTGCCACCTTACCTATTTCTACCGTCAAGCATTACTGCGTTCCGGTTTTGAACGGTAAGGTTGCTCGTGAAACTACAGGCTCATGAAACTTGTCACCATAATGTGACGGAGTGACGGGGTGACGGGCGCAATGGCAGAACCCCTCAGATTTTTGCGGTTTTTAAGCTCTGAGTAGCTCTGCATTGCTACGGACAGACGTGTCGCTTACCACCAGGTGCACGACTTATTAGTGCCTTTACTTGGAATCATGAAAAGAAAACAAGTTTGCTTTAAAATGCAGCGTTTATACCTTATGCCATGTAAAATCTTACACCCTATTGTCAACGCGTTTAATGTTGAAGAATAATAATGTTACCTATTTATAATTCAAAAATTATTATTTTTAGTAACTTCGCGTACCGCTAGATGGCGTTAGGATCTAAATAGAACGAGTATTTGGTTCGTTGTACCGAATCTAATTCACGTCTAAGTTTTACATTTGTGTTCAATTTTTAAGTACTATATACCCAATAACCTTTACGTATCTTCCACTTGTTTCAGAGAAACGACGTTCCATTAATGCTCACTTGAGGGATAAAAATAGAGTGTGGAAGTATATTTCTAGATCAGTATACGTTACGTATTTAATGAAATTCTCGTAGGCGTTTCGTCGTACCTGTTTTGCTCCTCTACAACCCCAAAATTTAATAATAATTTAATCTATAGTAGAGAGAAGCAATCAGTAACAACCATGGAGTAAATGAAATTCAAATTGCAACCCCAACGTATACCTCGTGTTCAATAATGTATTTTAATTATAACACTCCTGGTCAGTTTAATCAACATGTCCATTACAAAATTATTATAACCTGCTGAAGGACTATCGATTTCCTGTCACAAACATGATGTCCTCTATTAATTGTAGCGTTGTGTCCATGATTATCGTACGTACGAGGTCATTTTAATTTTGTCAGTTCATTTATAGGTTTGCTGTTTGAAGGGGATACGATAATGATTGTTTAATGTAAAATGCATGCCCAGTGTAATACAAACGCTGTTAATGTAGGATGGAAGTAGTATTGGTAGGATTATGATTTGACTTACCGTCTCTCATACAAAGATCGTGGGTTCCAATCCGTGCTGAACTTCTGAGTTTTCGGAATTCACGTGCGAAATTTGATTTATAATTACCATCAGTTGCCTCCGTGGCGGAACGGTTACCATGCTGGTCGGCCGCGCAGAGGTCTCGGGTTCGATTCCCGGGCTGGGAGAAATATTTGTTACAGGGTTTCCCTAATGCGAGGGTATGAGTGTGTACGTTATTATTATTATTAAATAAATATTCGGTGATGAAGAATATTGCATTGAAATTTGCACGTTAAGATGGTCCACATCCTTCGGAGAACGTGTAAAGTCCCTAACCAGCATTGGGCCGGCTCACTATATAGTAGCGACTCTGGCCTAACACCAGTGTCCAGTAGTGGTATAAATGGATCGGTTGATAATGATGATGCTGTTGAAGTGTATATACATTTTAGTCATAAGCGGATAAATTTTTTGTAAAAGGTATTCGCTTAGGGTAGCGCTTTTGCGCACTACAATCGATTCGTACAAGTCCCGAATCCGAGAAATGACGGTCCGAAATGTCACGGGGATCATTTTATCTCTAGGTGTACAAGCGATATCAAGCAGTGCTCTGACGCGCTTAGGGCATGATAAACTCGCCTTTTTGACAACCCTAGCGTCTTATTGCCTGCTTTCTGTGCCACTTGGTACTATGGTGTACAGTTATTTTATTCTTAATATATAGTATATTGAGGATTGAACATGCTTGCTTACAAAGTTCACCCCAAAAAGAAAAATATATCGAAGAAAATTGCTATTTTCATACCTATTATAGTATTTTTGCCGGTAAAACTTGTCAGATTTCATTTGCTATGTTTCCAGTTTATGTGAGTCCAGTCCGCCTTGGGAAACCACAGTTGTCGCCGCAATATTTCCACTTGGGCGATTTAAAACGCTTCGGAGATCGGCGGCTCGGCAAACGAAGCTCTTCATTTCGAGTGAATAATGTGTCTTGCTTGTTTGGTTTTTATTACGGTGAAACGTTTTCGGTAAGTTTATTTTCTGCTAAAAAACAATTCGACGTTGAATAAATATTTTATGAGTTTTCTTTTCATTGTCGATCTAGGTACTGTGTGAAAACGTCCGTCTCATCCTCAATTAAACACACAGAGAAAGGGTGCGGGTCGGGCGTGTGTCGGTTCGTGCGGGTGCGATTCCGCGTATGTATATGGACAACAACGCACACACACACACTCAACATAGCCCCGCACTAGGGAAACCCTGTGTCGCGGGTGCCATGGACACACACATAGACATCCACAAATTACACCCAAACTTTACACCCGGGAATCGAACCTGGGACATCTGTGTGGCAGTCCGACATGGTAACCGTTCGGCCACGGAATCAGTTTGACAACACACCAAGCGCGGGCGCGAGACGGGCGCAGGTTCGCAGAGCAGCCGCTCGCGGTGTGCTGTCGTCCATAAAAATACACGGAATTACACCCGCCGTGTTCTCAACCTGACACGCATCTGACACGCACCCGACCCTCACCCACTCTCTGTTGTTTCACGGTTAAATAAATGACTTATACTCCATATCAAAAGACTTACAACGATTAATGAAGAATGTTTGCTTTTGAACGCTAAGTCTGATAGTAAGAATTACTCAGAGGAGTCAAACGGATATACGCGGCAGTTAGTGTTGAGACTCGAGTTTACTTGAATAGGGATATTCAAAAATTTTGTGCTGAATACAGAGCTTTATTCCTTCACGAATCCATTATATTTATATCTTTCTCCTGGAAACTGATCTTTATTAGTAGTAGAGCTTCTTGTCAAAGTCCGTCCAAGGAGGTACTGCCTCTTTCAATTCCAATTTCAATAAGAAAGAAGATATCCATCATATTAACCTTAGAGTTAAGTCCAAACTCATGGTACCACGATTTCGTTTAACCAAAGTAAACAACTCTTTTATGGGGAACTGTATACGTATTTACAATAAGATTCCGGAGCATATATTAAGTTTATCATTTCCTAAGTTTAAAAACTACATTAAAGATATTTTGATCGAAAAATCATATTACAAAATTGAAGACTACGTGTTAGATAAAGATGTATGGAAAGACGACATGGCTCCAGAATCCACACAAATTTGATTCAAAGTGTATTCCATAGCATTTAAGTTTATTTGAAAAGAGCAATCCCTAGAGTTTCTTGCTCGTTCTTCTCAGGGAGGTCAGCGTAGTGAACGAGCAGTAGCTTAAATGTGACGTTTTCAAGTGTAAATTTATTTTACCTATGAAATAAATAATCTTTGACTTTGACTTTGACTTTCCTTGGGCGGACTGAACTCTTTGACAAGGACCTTATCTATTTCTGCCGCCAAGCAGTAATGCGTGCTTTACTGCGTTCCAGTTGTGAAGGGTAAGGGTGCTTGTGAAATTACGGGCACATGGGACTTGTCAAGTTATGTCTCAGCAGGGGCAGTGCCCCTCCGACCTTTGCGATTTAAAGCTCTGAGTGGCACTGTAACTGCTATGGACAGGCGTGTCGCTTACCATCAGGCGCAGGACTTGTTCGTCCCAACTTGAAAAAAATCGATACTACAGTGTTAGATAATTTTACTCTTCACATGTTTTTGAAAGGTTGTAGAACCTTCGTCCACAACCCTTGATTGAATTTTTGCTTCAATTTAAATGGGTTTTAAATTTAAAACACTTTTGCGAGAGGTATTTCTCGACTAAACATTAATAAAAATACGTAAAATAAATTCATGCCGTCACAGGGATTCGAATTCTCTCAATTGTCCCAATGGCCTACCACTTCCATTAATTACAGCTGGTGAAATTACACGCACATGGGACTTATCAACTTATGTCTCAGGAGGACGGGCGCAGTGGCAGTGCCCCTCAGATCTTTGCGATTTAAAGCTCTGAATGGCACTGCAACTGTTATGGATAGACGTGTAGTTTACCATCAGGCGCACGACTTGTTCATCCCGACACTTAAATATTATGAAAATCAAAGATCTGTTGAAAAAAACACCGCCGATGAAGGTTATAACTGTGGACCATATAAATTTTTTTACTATATAATTTTGTACATCAAAGTAATTAAGGTACTCAAGTCATATTTTATTTCTCATGAAAAGAGTATATTTTTGCATTCAATTAGGTACACTAAGAATCACAACAAGATTCTAGTCAATAAGCGTAGCGATGAGAAATTCTCAGGCGAATACTCTCCCTAACTACGTCCTCCTCGGTTCACTGATGTCCGATCCATCGTACCGTCTTGAATCGTCAAACACGTCTTGTTAGAATAATTTCAAATTAGAAAGGAGAAAAATATTAAACAATTTTGTTTTATCTAACAATAACCACTGTGTAAGAATTACATTTAATTTTTTACGATGTAATTATCCAATACCCGTGTAAAGTAAGTCGAGTAAATTTTAATTTAATTTAAAATTTATTTTTTAAACAAAGCCAAAAAGGCAAACAAGTATGGCCGACTAGAGGAGGTTCTCAATTCGACTGTGTAACAAACCACAACTTTAACACGCCATTAGTTTCGTCTCATCACCGCTAGATGTGATTAGTTGTACTCTGAAACGCGCTATCGTTTTGTTAACTCCAATAGTATAAGTCATCTCATAATGTTTTAAATTATTAATACTTTCTACTTGTATAGCATAGATACAGCACTGAACGACACCCAATTTGTTGAGACTACTGAACGGTGTGCTTTCATGCTTGTGAGACGTGCTGTTGGGTCCATAACCCTGTGAACCCTTTTTACCTTGAAGTCTGCGTCTAATTGTTCGTTCTACGTACCCCCCCCACTAACCGACGCCACAACTGTAGTTTTTTTTGTGTGTATGTTACCCGATAACTTTGACGTTTGTGAACCAATTTCGATTGTTCTTTTTTGTTTGAAACCTCAAGTAAAAACCTCAGTATTAGTCCCATACAAATTTGGAAAAAAAGGTGGCGGATGAATCTGTTTTATTGGGTTGCACCAACGTTCCGTTAACCGATTTCAATAAAACTTAGCCAGTAGATGTAATTCCACAAACTTTTCAGGTTGGTTTTTTAAGTTTTATTTAACGTTATGAGTTAATAATAACAAAGTTAATACAATGCGCGTAGGATCGTCCTTGATCCCCAAATACAAATTATCACACATTAATAATGAAATAAAGATTACGGACATCACTAAAACAATTGCTTTGAAATCAATTATTTTTATTAACAAGAACAATCAAAACACGGGGTTGTATTAAACATAGCTTGGTGACAATGAGGTAATGGAGCGATAATTATAAATTAACTGCTGCCATAGTCATTAACACTCTGCGGATTTAAACCATTTTATTGTAAGTGGAGTGGACCTGAAACTACATTGTAAATATAAAGAACATATTTCGAAGATAATAGGCGGCAGACTTAAGCACACATGTAAAAAAATGGCTCTAAATTTTGATAAATTACATTTTTTGGCAAACGTGGGGACGAACCACTTGGTGGTCATCGTCATAAAACGTTACCAGTCTTTCAGTTATGTTGCTTATAATATCGGGAGACATGAAGGAAATGATAAGGTTGAAGATGCCTCTAGAATTTTAGTTGAAACAAATAAATTTGAATCAGGTTTCGGATCCAATTATTTAAATGAATTATCTTGGATTTTGACTTATGACTTTACCTATTTCTGCCACCAAGCAGTAATGTGAGCATTCCGGTTTAGAAAGGTCAGGGTGATGGTGAATTTACAGGTACATGAGACTTGTCAACTTATGTCTCAGAGTGACGGGCGCAGTTGCAGTGCCTCTCAGATCATTGCGATTTAAAGCTCTGAATGGCACCGCAACTGTTATAGATAGGCGTGTCGCCTACCACCAGGTGCACGACTTGTTCGTCCCGTCACTTGGAATGATAAAAAAATATCGGCAGACGCCAAATATAGTTGATGAAGACAGAAAAATTATATTTTCTAAATAGTAAATAGTTTCCAAACATAATAATAATAATAATAACGCACACACTCAACATAGCCCCGCACTAGGAAAACCCTGTGTCGCGGGTGCTAAGGACGCACACATAGACAACCACAAATTACACACAAACTCACGAGAGAAATAAATGTAGCCCATACAAATATTTCTCGTGGCCCGGGAATTGAACGTGGGACCTCTGCGTGGCAGTCCGGCATGGTAACCGTTCGACCACGGAGGCAGAAACATCTAATCGAATTAGAAGTATATGTCCGTGTTAACATAAATAGGCTTATTTGCGTTTGCGACGATAATTCATATTTAAAAGTTCGACGCAACTCCTATAACCTGCTTTAGACATTTCTACCTGAATACACTTCTCTAACTATCACGGTTGAGTAGTATTGGAAGCATCGTTGCGTTAAATGTTGTTAGCAATACTGAAAACTGATCAACTTTGTTCGGGATATTTATCAAAGTATTCCATATCAAAGGATGCTTGGAAGATATTAGTAATTGGAATGTTATAGGAATATTAATATATTCATCTACAAAGTAAAAGTGGAAAAATACGGCAGCTTTATTGATAAGGCTTCCAGGTTAATTTGTGTACTTTAAGCTGATTTATTAAAAGGAAAATGAGCCAGGAAAAACAAATTTCCACATAATAATTTACTGTACTACATAATTGACCTTATTTTGGCTTCATCGTCGTTTGCTTTGTATACGTATGTCCGTATTATACACATAATCGAAAATTCAAAATTTACTGTATTTGGAAATATATTAAAAAAAAGACAATGCAAATTTACAATAACACGAATATGGCAAATTGTACTCAGCTTTTATTATCTAGTAGCAGTAGAGCTCCTTGTGAAAGAGTTCGTCCAAAGAAGTGCTGCCACCTTACCTATTTCTGCCGCCAAGCAGTAATGTCAGCATTACTGTGTTCCGGTTTTGAAAGGTAAGGTTGCTGGTGAAATTACAGGCACATGGGTTTTATTAACTTATGTCTCGGGTTGACGGGCGCAGTGGTAGTGCCCCTCAGTT